AAAGGGCTGGCCCGCGGTTCGGCCCGCCCCGGCCCACGCCAGCCCGCGGGCCAAACGGGGCGGGCCAAATAGGCCCGCGATTGAACGGGCTGGCCAAGCAAAGGCTTAAGCCCGTCCGTTTAGGCGGGCGGGCGGGCCAGCCCGCGGGCCATGGCCCGTTTTTACAGTGCTATTAGGCCCCGATTTGATAGTTTACCTTTCTTTCAAACTTTGTATTGTAAAAACTTCTTCATTCAAAGATCAATATAGTTTGTGGGAGTGAGTTTAATGTGGAATAATTTAACAACAATAAAAAGTGAAATTGCAAAAATTATATGGAGTATGTACCTAAATATATTTTTTAGTACACATATTAATGCATTATCATCCCCTTCCCCTATATATTAATTCAGAATGTGTTGAACTTAAGTGCAATCTCGCATGCTTCGGGACCCTATATGGCAAAATTACATGCTTCGTTATTAGGCTTTTGTAGATTTTAATTTACTTTCAAACGAAAAATAATTAGGTCTGAATTCATAAATATGTCGATTATTCATGGTTACGTCATATGTATTAATTGCATTTTAATATCGTTTCTTATTATAACCGTTGAATGGTAAATGTATTTTAAAAGTTAAGAACTTTTGTATTTTTTATCAGTTTTACACATATAATATATCAAATTAATCATCTCTTGATGATCTTCGATTTAACATCCGTATTATATGTATAATAATACAATATTTTTGATAATAAGTGTTATTTCTAAAATATATAATAATATATTATTTTTGTAAAAAAATAAATAAAATTTAAAACAATATTTCTCATTAATTTTAAAATTTAATAATATTTTGTTAACAAATACTCGTGTAATACACGGGTGTGGTACTAGTTTGTGATAAAATCTTACAAATTTATAATAAAATGTGTTATCGTATGGTTTTATATATAGTAAAATTGTGTGAAATATTTTTTTTATCAACAAATTTTTGTTATTTATTTAACATGAAGGTTTGTGTTCAAATGACTAGTTTATGTTATTAAGAATCCCATTTTGGTTAATGTGAGGACTTATGATATATGATATATTCTTCCATCACGAATGGGGTTGTAAATAAATTGAATTTAGACGAAAACTTAATTATTTTGATTTGGATTATTGAAATATTCGATTTTTTGTATTTTTATTCGATCAGTTATTGAATAACTATGATTTGTATTCGATTATCATAATTACTTACTTTTCAAAATATATTTTTTAATATAATAATTTTTTTTCAAGATAAGTATATACATACATATGTTTTTAACTGTATTTAATATTTTTGAGAAATATAAATGCATCTTATTATTTTTTATTTATATTTAATATATCTTATATAAATAAAACTTTATATTAATTTAATATAACTTTTATTGAGGAATTCAATATTCCATAATTTCGAAATTAAAATTGAAAAGTCATATAAAGTTTGAAAACTCAAAAATATTTCAAATTTTAACGTATTATAAATAATGAATTCGAGTTACTATCAAAAAAGAAAAAAGAAAAAAAAAAAGATTTGTTTACTATCTCCAATCACAACTATGTGCTATACATACATATAATATAACAATAAAAGTTGTTGTGATATAAAAATAGTAAAATAATAATTTCTAAAAGTTGAAATATTCTCAAAGCCAATATTCAGTTTAATATAATTAAAAACAAAGCCAAATTAGATAAATTACTCAAAATCCTATTGGATTAAATAAAATAAGATATATATTTCTCATTTAGCTGGTCTAACCATTAAACAACATGCTTTTTTTTTATCTATATATTTTTACTAGTACAACACCCGTGTATTACACGGGTGCTTGCTAATTTCTTTTTCTTAAAATCTAAAATTAATGAGAAAAAGTAGTTTGAAAATTTAAATACCTTTTATAAGAATATATATATTATTATATATTTATTATGACACTTTTTATTTGTGCAATTTAGTTGTGTTATATTATACTAATTTTTTTTAACTTACAATATATAACTACCTTAAATATAAATATATCAATTGAGTAATAATTTTATTTTTTTAATGAATTTTAATAAATATTATTATTTTTTATTATTATAAAGATAAATATAATTTATTTATTTTATATATACAATATGGATATCAAATCGAAGATCATCAAAAGATGATTAATTTGATATATTATATATGTAAAACCGATAAGAAATACATAAGTTATCAACTTTTAAAATATATTTATAATTCAATTGCTTATTGAAGGAAACAAATCAAAATTCAAGGATATATTAGTCACTTAGTGCCTCACTATGTAAAATTACAAAGAATTAAAGGGTTATATTAGTAAAAGTGATATTAAAATACCTAAGTTAGCTTAATAATATTTATGGAATACCCGAACCTAGATTATTAACTATTAATATATCAATATTATTTATCCAAACCTAATTACGAAGCATGATTCTTCGCCAAATAGGATTCCGAAGCACCAGAAGCAGCCACATAGGCTCAGCGCATTCGAGAATTATATATAGGGAGGATTAAAAATATCATACTTGAAAAATGATATAATAAAATTTAACATTTAATAATATAAATATGAATATTTGTTAATATATGAGATTTTCCATCGATTTCCAAATCCATCCGAGTTTACACTAAATCCATGACTTTTCCTAATGTACAATCTCGTATACATCTATAAGTATTCGACTTCGTGTTTCATTTGAGGTTTATTTGCATATACAGCTCAAGTGTGTGAAGATTCTATAGATACAAAGAGGGGAGAGGGTGGGAGAGAAGATAGGTAGGGGAGAACAATAAATTTCCCACTAGGCGTGCCAAATCTGTACCAACAAATTTCGTGTAAAACAAAATAAATTTTTTGTACGATTTGATTATATTTCGATCGAAAGATTTGCGAGTACATGTCTCATCTGATTCTTCTCTCATTGGATTTGAGCTTGTGATTTTGAAAGATGGATTTTACGGATTGAATGTCCTTCATGCTTCTAACATTAAATTGAGGTTCGAATGACTTATTCTCATATTAAATGTGAGGTCTTTGTTAAGTCAATGGGCAACAACCCATTTTCTTCTAACTACCAAAGATAAATAAAAAAAATGGAGTAGCACACCGTGGGAGAAAAATGTTAGCACACATTTGTAGAAATTTTGATGCATTCTTTCTCTATAAATAGAGCTAGAATCATGATGTAAAAAACACAATAAAAGAAAACATAACAAGAGAGATAGAGAGAAAAAAGAGTAGAGAGAGTGTATTCATACGGGCTTGTGTGAGTTGTAACATTCGGTTTATCCTCTTTTTCTAGTTCATTCTCCTGGCTTGGTTCGCCCCCAGACGTAGGATTTAATCCGAACTGGGTTAACAAACTTTCGTGTCTTTTATCGATTTCACATTGGTGTGTTATTATTATTCCATCTTATCCGACCTTATTTCCCTACAACTGGTATCAGAGACAGGAGGTTGGAGATAAGATGGAGGGAAAGATTCCAGTCGAACGGTTCAATGGTTCCGACTTTGGATTCTGGCGAATGCAAATGGAGGCTTACCTGTACGGGAAGGACCTCTACGCACCTCTTGGGGAAAAGCCTGAGAAGATGAGCGATGATGAATGGAAGGTGCTCGATCGGAAGGCGATGAGCGCTATAATTCTTTCGCTCTCTCGGAACGTCGCCTACCATGTGAAGGGAGCAAAAAACACGAAGGAGGTCTTGCAGACACTCGCCGACATGTATGAAAAACCATCAGCAATAAACAAGGTGATGCTCATGAAAAAGCTGTTCAAATTGCAAATGGAGGAGCGAAAGTCAGTGGCCGATCATCTCAACGATTTTAACCAACTCACGACGCAGTTGGCATCGGTGGATATTTCGTTCGATGATGAGGTAAAAGCCCTAATCTTGCTCTCATCATTGCCGGACAGTTGGGACGTGGTTGTTACTTCGGTGAGCATTTCTTCTGGCAAGGAGAAGATGAAGTTCGACAACATAAGAGATATGATGTTGAACGAGGAGACCCGCAGAAATCAGACGGGTGGGTCGTCTGGCTCAGCCTTACATACAGAGTCCAGAGGGAGACCCGAAACACGAGGGAAAATCCGTGGGAGGTCAAAATCCAGGGGAAGGAATAAAGGCAAGAAAGAAATGGTGTGTTGGAACTGCGAGAAGCCTGGGCATATGAAAAGTGAATGCCGGGCACCGAAGAAGGACAAAGAGGGTCGGACAGCCAATGTCGCGACGGAGGACACGGCAGATGCACTTTTGTTGAGTGTGAGAAGCTCGCTCGATGACTGGATCGTGGACTCAGGGGCCTCGTTTCACTCTTGCAGTAGCAGAGACATCATGGAGCCATACACCGCAGGTAATTTTGGCGTGGTATATCTTGCAGACAACAAACCCCTAAAAATTGTAGGGAAAGGAGATGTGCAGATCAAGTCAGCAAATTGGTCATGCTGGACCCTACGGGATGTGAGGCACATTCCAGGACTGAAGAGAAATCTCATCTCAGTTGGACAGCTAGACAATGACGGCTTCCACACAATGTTTGGAGACGGAGAGTGGAAAGTCAGCCGAGGAGCTATGACTTTGGCAAGAGGGCTGAAGTCAGGAACGCTTTACACGGCGAGTGGATCCAGCTCAAACATTCTCCTGGCAGGAGCTGTCTCACAATCGCACTTGTGGCACAGTCGTTTGGGCCACATGAGCGAGAAAGGAATGAAGGTACTAAAGTCGAGAGGACTTTTACCCGAGTTGGAGTCAGTGGACGTGGGTCTCTGCGAGCAATGCGTGCTTGGAAAGCAGAAGCGAGTGAGTTTCACGACCACCGGGAGAGCTCCAAAGACAGAAAAACTGGAGCTCGTGCACACTGACTTATGGGGGCCAGCACCGGTGACATCTCTTGGAGGATCGATGTACTACATGACGTTCGTCGATGACTGCACAAGAAAGGTATGGGTGTACTTTCTGAAAAGAAAATCCGAAGCCTTTGATACTTTCAGGAGATGGAGAGCACTCTTGGAGAAAGAGACAGGTCTGGAAGTGAAATGTCTCAGATCCGACAATGGTGGCGAGTACAATAGTGAAGCCATCAAGGAATACTGCGCTGATCATGGGATCCGGATGCAGAAGACGGTCCCAGGGACACCTCAACAAAATGGCATTGTAGAGAGGATGAACAGGACACTGAATGAGCGTGCAAGATGCATGCGATTGAAGAGTGGATTGCCCATGATGTTTTGGGCAGAAGCAGTCAGCACGGCCGCTTTCTTGATCAACCGAGGGCCTTCTGTCCCACTTAACAACAAAATTCCAGAAGAGGTCTGGAGTGGTAAGGAAGTTGATTTCTCTTTCTTACGTACCTTTGGTTGTTTGGCTTACGTTTTGAACGACGACCGGACAAAGCTGGATGCTAAGTCCATCAAATGTACATTCATTGGATATGGGACTGACGAATTTGGGTATAGATTTTGGGATGATCAAAATCGGAAAATTATTCGCAGTCGTAATGTGGTGTTCAATGAAGGCATAATGTACAAGGACCGGAAGGAATACCCAGATGATGACAAGACCATGCAGGAGTATGTTGGTCTCGATATTTCAAATACCGGAATCATGAGACCAACAGATTCAGTGGGAGCTCAGATAGATGAGATCGAGCGTACAGAAGAAGAGACAGAACCAGAATCGGATGAATCGATTGCTGAGAGCAGCACGCCTCTGGCACTGGGCCGAGAACCGAGGATGAGAAGGGCCCCAGATAGGTACTCCCTTCTCTTTATTACCTACTTTTATCTGATTCTGGGGAACCCGACTGTTATGCAGAGGCAGTTAAAGATGCCCACAAGAGCAAGTGGGAGCTTGCGATGGACGACGAGATGAACTCGTTGAAGAAGAACCACACATGGGATTTGTGTGATCTCCCAAAAGGAAAGAAGGCTCTTCAAAATAGATGGGTCTATCGGGTCAAGGAGGAATCAGATGGGACGAAGCGATACAAGGCCAGACTTGTAGTGAAGGGATTCCAACAGAGATACGGTATTGACTTTACCGATGTTTTTACACCTGTTGTTAAGTTAACCACTATTCGTCTAGTGTTAAGCATGGTAGCGGCGGAAAATTTGGAGTTGCAACAGTTAGATGTGAAGACGGCCTTTCTGCATGGGGATCTCGAAGAAGAAATTTACATGGTGCAGCCAGAGGGGTATAGAGGAAATGATCAGCAGGTCTGCCGTCTAAAGAAGAGCTTGTACGGATTGAAACAGGCTCCTCGACAGTGGTATCGAAAGTTTGATAATTTCATGTTGGAGATTGGATACTCCAGGTGTAATGCTGATCATTGTTGTTATGTGAAAAGGTTCGGTAACTCTTTCATTATTTTACTGCTATATGTGGATGACATGCTGATAGCAGGATCAGATGTCAAGGAGATCGAGAGGCTCAAGGATCAGCTATCAAGAAGATTTGATATGAAGGATCTAGGAGAAGCGAGACAGATACTGGGCATGAAAATCACGAGGGACAGGAATGCTGGTAAACTTTGGCTTTCTCAATCTGATTATATTGAGAAGGTGTTGTGCAGATTCAATATGAATATTGCAAAGCCGGTTCGAGTGCCATTGGGAAGCCAATTCAAGTTGTCTAACAAGGATTCGCCCCAGGATAACTCTGAAAAAGAAAAGATGAGAGTTACGCCTTATGCTTCGGCTATAGGGAGCCTGATGTACGCTATGGTCTGCACCCGGCCAGACATAGCACATGCAGTGGGAGTAGTCAGCCGGTTCATGAGCAATACTGGAGTGATGCACTGGGAGGCGGTAAAGTGGATCCTTAGGTATCTGAGGGGTACTAAGGACCGGGCATTGGTATTTGGCAGGAGTACCCTTACCCTATATGGGTTTGTCGATGCTGATTTTGCAGGAAGTGATCTTGACAAGAGGAGGAGTACTACTGGGTACGTGTTCACTTACGGCGGGACGGCCGTATCCTGGATCTCAAAGCTGCAGAAGATAGTCACATTGTCAACAACGGAAGCTGAGTACGTGGCAGTGACGGAGGCAGCCAAGGAGCTCGTTTGGCTGCAAAACTTCCTGAATGAACTTGGGAGACCTCAAGAGGATGTAGCTCTATACAGCGATAGACAGAGTGCAATCCATCTGGCAAAGAACCCCGCGTTTCACTCGCGAACGAAGCACATCGAGGTTAAGTATCATTTCATCCGGCAACTTCTAAAGAAGAAGGTGTTGCAGCTGAAAAAGGTTCCGGGAGAGAGAAACCCTGCAGACATGTTGACCAAGGCGGTAACTTTGGAAAAGTTGAAGCTGTGTGCAGCTTCGACCGACCTTGATAATTAAAATAGACAGACCCGGTAGAACCAGGAGTAGAGATGAACATGTTGATCAATGAGGTGTGAGGACAGATTGAAATCAGTCCTCAAGTGGGAGATTGTTAAGTCAATGGGCAACAACCCATTTTCTTCTAACTACCAAAGATAAATAAAAAAAATTGAGTAGCACACCGTGGGAGAAAAATGTTAGCACACATTTGTAGAAATTTTGATGCATTCTTTCTCTATAAATAGAGCTAGAATCATGATGTAAAAAACACAACAAAAGAAAACATAACAAGAGAGATAGAGAGAAAAAGAGTAGAGAGAGTGTATTCATACGGGCTTGTGTGAGTTGTAACATTCGGTTTATCCTCTTTTTCTAGTTCATTCTTCTGGCTTGGTTCGCCCCCAGACGTAGGATTTAATCCGAACTGGGTTAACAAACTTTCGTGTCTTTTATCGATTTCACATTGGTGTGTTATTATTATTCCATCTTATCCGACCTTATTTCCCTACAGTCTTGACTTGATTGAAGAAGTCTTTTTGGAAGACATGATTCTTTGATTTTCTTGAAAAAAGAATTTTGACTTGAATAACGTTGACTCGAGGGCTTGATAGTTTTTTCCTACGTTATGTTGGTTGAAGATTGAATCGAGAGTTTGATAGTTTTTTCCTACGCTATGTTGGTCGAAGATTGAATGTTGTTGATATTCTTGGATTGATTTGAAAAGAGTGGAAGTCATTCTTGATATTTTGAGGTGTGATTTGTAGCATTGAAGATATTTATAGGTGTACGAGAGCAATTATTGGAGAGGAAGACATCAATTTAATTTCTTTTATGATTTGATATAATTTTTTCCTTATCCTAAAATTTGATATAACCTCTTTCCATATCTTATATTTATGATTTGATATAATTTTTTTCTTTATCTATATAATCTCTTTCCATATGACTTGGTGTGACAAGAAATAATAATTTTATAAATTAAATATCTTATTCATCTTAAATTTATATTTAAAAATAAATAATGACATTAATTAGTAAAATATTAAAATTTACACGTCTAAAATTTATATTTAAAAATAAATAATGACATTAATTAGTAAAATATTAAAATTTACACGTCTACATGGAGATAAGAGCAAAATGGCGCCGATGGAAGCCGCGTCCGCGGCGGCGATGCAGGCCGAGCAGCTCAGGCAAGACGGCAACGCGTACTTCAAGAAGGATCGATTTGGGGCCGCCATTGATGCTTACACCGAGGTAAGATTCTTGTCCTTGGCCGGCGATGGTGTTTGATGGTACCATATCGAAACTCTTTGCTAAATAGATTGAACTTTTTTCGTTTGTTCCCTTCCCTTTTAGGCTATTACGCTGTGCCCTAATGTCCCGATATATTGGACGAATCGGGCTCTGTGCCATCGTAAACGGAAGTATGTATATATTCACTTACACAATACACTTGCTGTAATGGTCGATTGTTGTGTTTTTTTTTTTGTGAGAACTTTTGGTTTTCATTTGTTTGTGTGAGAGTTTTGCCTTTTTTTTTTTTTTTTGGGTTTTATGCGGTTTTGGTTGATAGTGAATGGGCAAGAGTGGAGGAGGATTGCAGGAGGGCGATTCAGCTCGATCACCATTCGGTAAAGGTGCAGTGATGCTCATTCTGTTTTTGCTGTACTTAGTTTCATAGATTCTGTTTTCTATCGCATTGTTTTTCTTGGGGTTTTTTTGCGATTCCCTTCTCGATTTATCTTGATACTCATTCTGCGTTTGCTGTACTTAGTTTCATATTTTTTGTTTTCTATCGCATTGTGTTTCTTGGGGTTTTGTGCGATACCCTTCTCGATTTATCTCGATATTTGTACGAAAGAGTGAAACACGATTCGGGTGTGCTAGAAAAATGTTCCAAACAGGTGGGAATACAGATAGTTATGGTTAAGTAGGATTCTTTGATCTAGCTTCCATTTATATCATCTATGTATTGATACAATAGAAGAGTTGGCTTTTCTATACATTTGAGGACTACATATGTCACAGTTGGGAGATTCAGTTTGAGATTTTGGGCTATCTGCTTAGAACGAGTGGGATAAGACGGTGTATAGACTGTAGAGGAAGAAGTCAAGAAGGATCGGTGCAAACGATAATGTTATCTTATACTACATTCTGTTAATTTTCTTTGAGATGCCTCTGGAAGGGGAATATATCCTCTTCAACACTTATGGACATATGCCTCATGTCACCTGTGAGTAAAGGATTCCTTTTCGTGTGTGGCATATCTGTGTAATTGCGAGTTTGTATCATTCTGTTGTCTGATTTGACGTTGACAGGCAGAGGATATAAAGTACTATAATCATCGCATAGTGAAATTGTGTAAATTGTAATTACTGTAAGTCGAGTATAAATTATTACATTTGAAATCAGAATGATGTATAAATTGTAATGTCGACCTCAATTTAGATATCTAGTGGATAACCCTCTGCCTTTAGGATTAAATGACGTCATAAACTGTCGTGACATAAATTTACCCTTGATATTTTTTTTTTCGGTATTATTACTGACCTGGGAAGTTCTTATCTGTAAGATTTAGGGAAACTGAGGTATTGCAAACTTGAAACACTTCATTTACAGTGCTAAATATCTCATAATGCAATAAATATTGGTTTTTTCTTTCTGGATGGGAAGAGGAGTAATAACTAAAATATTCCTAATGGATGAGGTTCCTGTAACTTAACTCTTTCAGAAGACGAATATTTAGTTCTAAATTGAAGGTTGCCGCCATCTCTATGTGAGTTAACTTTTCAAACACGTTGGTCATATCTGATTCAGATACTCTGTAAATACTGTTGTAAATGTAGAGGGAAGTTTGCGTAGGAATTGAGGCATAAAAATGCTGATGATTATTGATTTGCTACCAATTTTGAACTCAAAGTGACGTAGAAATTGTAATGGCCTTTAATTTAATGATGTAAACTAACAGTAAGATGAAGGAAGCTGTAGTAATCAATGATTTCTTTTTCTCTAATGGAAGATATGCCGTTACGAGTGGTCTTGCATTTTTCTTTTGGTAAGCAAGCTTATCTACGGATAGATAATAAATTTGCACTGTTGTTTTGTTAATATATAATTGTCATATTGGCCGTTTTCAGTCATTTGTATCATCAAAGTCATTTGAAAGAATGTAAGTACACCCACACAGATATTTCTTTAAAGATACTAAGCAGATCCCCATGTAGTAAGCAGTCTGTTTTACATCCGGGCTCGGATTAGATCCATTTGAGAATCCGAACCAGACCTCTTCAACTTGCTGACAAATTAGAAAATAGTGAATATTGATGACTAGTAACTCTAAACTAAAAGTGCTTCGCATTTGCAGGCACATTATATGCTTGGTCTCGCACTTCTACAAGAGAAAGAATTCGCAGAAGGTGTCAAAGAATTGGAAAAAGTACGAAGTTTTCATTTCCTGAATATTACTTCCAGGTTAATTAAAGTTGTAATATATACGTGAGAACTTTATTATTCAGATATATTCATCTATGGATACACTAAAATATCTATCTGGAGCCTGCTAGTGTTGCTTTCTGTGGAACTACTCATGAACAATTCCTACTTGCATGCTTTCTACTTGTGGTGTTTTTTCTCGAGTATATGTATTAACAATATGTGATATTGATATGTGTAAAAGTGGTGTCCTTAACTCATTGTTAAAAAAAAAAACGGGGGAACAAAAAAAACTCTAGCATTTATTGAAGATGGTCTTAGTTGTTTTCATTGTAATTTAACTTGTCCTAGGCATTGGACCTTGGGAGCGGTGCGAATCCAAAGGGGTATATGGTAGAAGAGATATGGCAAGAGCTTGCACGAGCCAAGTACTTGGAATGGGAACATGAATCCACTAAGCGTTCTAGCGAACTTCAAAACTTAAAGTAACCGTTTTTTTCTTTTTTCTTTTTTCGTGCCTTGTATTTCTTTACAATTTTTGTTTTGTACGTGTGTGTTATCTTTATTGAATATTAGATGGTATTTTTTTATTTTTTATTAGTTTACTTTTCATGAATTAGATGGCTTACCATGTATTATCACAGACTTTGGTGTGAAGAAGCTCTGAAGGAGAAATATGCCCTTGCTGGTTCTCAAACTGAAGGTTTTGTAGATGAAAATACTCGCAAGTCTAATCAAAATCGGTTGGAAGCTTTAGACCGAGTTTTTAACAAAGCTGCTGAAAACGACTCTCCAACTGAGGTGAGCTTCAGCTTTGCTGCTAAGTACGATTATGGTTTGTTGTTTAAAAATAAGTCAAATTAGGTGTAGGTTAATTACAACAAATCAGTTGCTCTTGTTTTTACTTTTTTCTTTTCGTTTAAATTAGATTCACCCGATTAACATTTCTCTCTCTCTCTCTCTCTCTCTCTCTCTCTCTCTCTCTCTCTCTCTCTCTCTCTCTCTCTCTCTCTCTCTCTCTCTATGTATCACTTAATGCACCCTCTGAAAATCTCACTTGATAATCTTGTAATTTCCTTTACTCAATTTCTCTCTCGCGCTTCTTTTATTCGTTCTTTCTTTCTTTTTTTACGTTAATCATTTCAGGTGCCGGATTATCTGTGCTGCAAGATCACCTTAGACATCTTCCGCGACCCTGTAATTACTCCTTGTGGGATTACATACGAAAGAGCTGTGATCCTAGAGCACTTGCAGAAGGTAAAGCGCGTGTGAAAAGCATTTGTTCGTTTATATTATTATCCCAAACACGCGGTTTTGACTTCAAAATCTGAAACTTTTATCTAGGTGGGTAAATTCGACCCAATCACCCGCGAAACCTTATATCCATCCCAGCTTGTACCGAACTTGGCCTTAAAAGAAACTGTAAGAGCGTATCTTGATGAGCACGGTTGGGCTTATAAGATGGATTGACGTTTGGCAACGTTCTTTGGCTTCGGAGACAGTTTTTTTTTTTTTGTTTTTTTTTTTTTTCGTGTTTTTTTAGAAGTGTGTGCCTCCGAAAAGTCGTGAACAACCAAATGGTTGTTTTTGGATGGGAGCATTTTAGTTATAAACGAGCAACTATAGGTGATGCATAGTTACTTTTGAATTGTATATTAGTGTGCTATAGAGCTTGTACAGTGTCGAGTGGCATATATTAAGTACTAAATTATTACTATCAAAGATTGTTATATATGCAGTTACATAAAAATTGCAAAAAAAAAAAAAAGTAAAGTACTATGTTTGCAACATTTGTGACAAAATTTGACGGGATTGAGATCAAAGCTGCAACAAAAATTCAAAAAACACCGATTTTGCAATCTATGAGACCAATTTTACAATAGGCCTAATTCTACGGGACCAAATTTGCAATTCTCTCGTACGAAAAATAACCACTAATTGTCTACTTCTACTTCACTTCACTCATCTTCATCTATCCTTGTCCTCTCAATATCAGTTATCACAATTAATAGATTTATGTTTTTTAGTAACATTTCAACCTTCTATGACATTTTTGAGAGATGAAGAACATAGAATTGCTCATATCCTTAAAATTTCCATACAATCGAATAGGACAATTTCCAATCTCTTCCATCGCTAGTATGTCGGGAATTGTGGGTCCACATCGTGGGCCCACGACTCGAGCCCACCAACAATATCCTTAGCTAAAGCAAAACCCATCTCGCGAAGTAACCTGACTGCCTTTTGCGAGTCATTTCCCCTTCTGCAAATCACGTATAGAGACGCTTCTTCTCGATTGCTATCACCATTCTTCTTTTCCTCTTCCTCTTTTGCTAAGGCTGCCGATATTTCGGATATCCTCTCTTTCAGATTTGCTAAAGGGACGTTCAGTGAATTTGTTAGGGAGGTAATTTTGTAGTGATGAGAGGGTCGAACATCGAGCAAAACGTGTGGCTCGCCTTTCGAGTGTTTTTCTTTGTATTCCTTGCAGGTTATTCTATCCTCCGATGAAAGCAGGTTTAACTTCAGTGGAGACTGCCAATTAAGCGTATAGAAAATTCGATAATTTAACCCTTCATAGTTTTTCTAATTACGAATCGCATCCTATGGTGGGTAGAGGAGAAGATTGAGTCAATTATAAAATAACCGAGATAATATGCGCACCGTGGATAGCGGAGATTGAGTGAATTTTTCATAGTCGAAAGTCTGAAAGTTCTGTTCGTTCATTGTCCCGTTTTCTCCACATGCTTCACAATGTAGTGATCTCCCTCTAATTTTGACCTACAACAAGTTAAAAATAAAAACTAAATCAAGAAATTATCAATGATTTATACTGGCATAGAGTAAAACGGAATTGATGACAAATACGAGTTCCTAATGACTCGATGTATGAAGCTCGTAATACGTCAAGTGAGAAAGACCCAATACCGAAAATTCTACTTTAAAATAGTGGAAGCTGGCTAAAGTTTAACTAGTCTGCTGGACTTTGGCCTACGAAGGGTATGATTGGGAGAATCCGTAAAAATGTAAGTGAATTTGCATGCTCTTTGTGATAGAGTTGGCAAATGGAATTACTTAAGGAACAAGGACATTGACAGGACATAAACTTACAACGCGAATTCTAGCAGAAAGTGCATCCAATAGAAGCATTCTTCCTGAAAGTGGTTCTCCAACTCCACTTACAACTTTTATAGCTTCAAGGGCCTGGAGACACCCGATAATGCCAGGAACTGTATTTCAAATACAAAAGGGAAAAACGCAAAGACAAAATGAAAAAGTATTTCAAATCCTGGAATACACGAAGATAAAATGAAAACGAGCAGTTGCCTTTGTATTGTTGCTCATTTCGCATGTAAGAGGACTGGATTTCAGACTATACTCATATAGACAATGGGTACTGTAAGAGCATATATGACATTTTAAAGTAAAAAAAAAAATCATATATTTTAACAAGCTGTGTTCAGACTCTGCACGCAATCGGAACAAACAAAATCGTTCCACCTCCAAAACAGATAAATAGCATAATAATTGGACAGCAAAGAAAAGAAAAGACAATGATTTAATACCACAATGCTTAACCAGATTTTAGCCATGATGATTTTATATATTTTTTTCCAAAAGATTCTGAAACAATGAGTAAAACTTATACATGCTCAATATACCTACTCCAAGAACTCCACTGTCTGCACATCTCTGACATGCTGTTGAAGGTGGCGGAGTTGGGAATAGGCATCGATAGCATGGACCTCCATTATAATTGTAAACAGTAAGCTACAGATGCAAAAGATGATGGATAAATAAATAGCTAATAAGGGTCAGTGCACTCAAGTACACTTAGGCCTGTAAATGAGCCGAGCCGAGCTGTGCTTGAGCCCTTAATGAGCCCACCCGAGCCGAGCTCGCCTCGTTAAATAAATGATCCAGAAATCAAGCTCAAGCTCGGCTCATTAAGGCCTCGAGCCCGATCCGATCTCGAGCTTTAACGAGCCGAACTATAAAAATATTATATAAAAATTCCCTTTTCGAGCCTTGAAAAGCCTTATCGAGCCGAGTCGTTAACTACACGAGCTTTAAGAGCTCGAGCTCAGCTCGTTAAGGGCTCGAACTCCCGAACTTGAGTCTTACGAGTCGAGCTTGAGCCGAGCCAGGCTCCTTTAATTTAACAGCACTAAGTACACTACAACTAGCTTTAGCTTATAGATTTGGCATCCATAACCATGTGATAATGTGTACCCAGTAAAGTATACCTGTCCCTCCAGTCCGAGTGCAGCTCCAGAAATTAGAGGCTGCAGATATAGAAAAGATGTATGGTCAGTAGAAAGAAAGTGTACAAATAAGTACATCTCGGCTGAAAAAAAGCCAAACTTATATGAAAATGAACTAACACGAACATCTGTATGCAAAAAATAAATGAGCAATTAAAAGTTCCCGCTGAATAGAAATTTTGATGAACTATGTTAAAAAATAAAAGGATGTGCATTATGACCGAAAACCAATCCTTTCGTTTCTTTTTTTTTTTTTTTGTGAAATTTTGAATCTCCCAGGCAAAAAATACAGCAAACATTTCCTTACCTTCCCCAAGACAACACAGCAATCACTAATCATATAACGACTAGGGACATTGTCAGTTGCATCTACAACAATATCATACCTGGAACACATTATAAATAGTTCCAAAAACTGAATTTCAGTAATATGAACCACAAACATGAGATACTACAGGAAAATAGAGAGAAGATATATATACTTTCTCATAATCTCCAAGGCATTGGATGTACGAAATGCTTCCTTGTGCTCCACTATTTGGACGGTAGAGTTAATCCTGAAGATAAAATATTATGAAGAACTAAGCGGCATGAACTGGGTGCCACAGTTAACATCTACACTGAAACTGTCACACTTAAAATAAAATAATCAAATATACTATTTTCTCTCCCCATTCAATCCAAAAAAAAAAAAAACTAAAAAAAGAAAAAATTAACAAGAAGCATACGCGCGACATGTAGCAGCAGCAGACTCTACTTTCGATCTTCCAATATATGATTCAGTATGGATTACCTAGAAAACCATCACAAGTATTGGTCAAGATCATATCATTTACTCAAAGGTAATAGCAAGATGATACCATTTTTCGGCATTATCATAACTATAGCTCAACCTACCATCATCGATCGCAAAAAAGATAGAGGTATCTGTAGAGGCTGTACTATAAGCTCCATGGATGAGGGAAAAACAAAAGAAAGAACAAAAGAAAGGAAGAAGAATCTTCATTGCATTAACTCTCCGAATGTAAGCAAAACAGCTTTTGTCTACCAACACTAGTCCTTATGATGCTTGTATTCACTCACATTATCTTCTTGAACTCAATAAATATTTCAGCACCGTAAATATTGACATGGATTTACTAAATGCATCACATTACACAAATTTTAGAGCATGGAAGTTGGAATTTTCAAAATTACATCTTTACATCATTTTTGAACTTCTCAAATGGCCTTCTTTCCAGTCTCCACCATCCAGCAGCTGAACTAACAAATTGCTTTCCCTTAGACTTGCTTCATTCCATTTATTCGACATTTAATCGTGCTCGACAATTGGCAGTAATTAGGATATTAAAGCAATCCAAACAAAAAAAAAAAAAAAGAGAAAAACAAAGCAACTGAGACTGAATATTATGCTTCCCATGTACCTGCCTATGTAAATTGTTAAGCTCCACAACATCATGATCGACAATACCCACACGCCCTGAAATTTGTTTTCAGCATAACAGCAATCAATCGCTCTCCACAAGGGAAAGGCTCTAAGTTTGAAAAATTCGCAGCTAGATAATTCTACATACCTACACCGCAGGCCGCAAGGTAAAGCAGTGCAGGCGCGCCCAAGCCGCCGGCTCCAATAACCAACACCGAAGACCTCAACAAATTCGCCTGCGCATCAACCCCGAACGACGGAAGTATCAGCTGGCGGCTGTATCTGTATATCATATCAGCTGACAATTGGCCGCCGGAAGGCGTCGCCGTGGGGCGCGGGGCGGCGGTACCCGCCTCCTCTCTTCCATTCTCCGGGATATGATTACTGAGCCGAGCTCGCAGAGCTGATATTCGGTCCTCGATGTGCGCCTTGTCCTTCTCTAAAGAGGCGATTTCCCGGCGGATATCCGCCGCCGTCTCCCCGACTCCGTTGGAATCCATGGCGATAAATGCCTAAAATTCGTTTTTTTGCTTGAGGTTCGATATGGGCCGTTTAATAATATAAAATAGAATTTATTCATGTGAAATTATAATACACACTTTTGTGTTTTTAATTTTTACTTTTTATGACTTTTAAAAAATTTGATGTTTTCATTTGAGATTTCAAAAAGTGTTAAACTTATTTGCCATCGAAATTTACTAAGATTTTTTAATAATTCTTGATACTTCATAAATAAAAATCTAATATGAAATACTGTCCCAAACACCACCTCAAAACGAAAGATTCCTCTTAAATTTTCAAATTTTAATAAGTCTCAAATCTCAAAAGTCTTAACATGCGTCTTAAAAATTCCAAACGATTACACCCTCGTTCTCCAGTAAATCTATTTACGATCTTGTTTGGCTATTTGTTGAGTAGCAGATAACGTAATTGATTGTATCAACGTATAGCGTAATAGCTGATCTGACTAGCGAATTGTATAGCAATTTTAAAAATTTTATGTTGGCATGTTCAATATAAGCTCGATATGCTCGTCCCGTTTATTAAATTTTAAACCATAAATAAAAATCAATAAATCTAACAATATAGTTGAGTTCTTGACAATCAAGTTAGTTTCGTGTCTCGAACTTGATTCATTTAAATAAATGAACGAATTGAGTCCTAACTCTAAAAAATCGAGTCAAATTGTGCTCGTGAATAATAGCGAGTCTAAGAAGTCAAAATGGATGCTGAAATTCACTGGTTTGACTATATATATAAAAAAAACAATACTAGCCATTAATTTCAATCACATGTCACTTATCTTTACATATCTCTGTATCTTTACATCACTTCAACTTTAATCATTATATTATAAATATTATTCGAATACCAACTCAAATATCACTCAATCATTCATCCAGTCAAAATCCAAATTAAATTCATCCAATCAAACTATCTTGAATATAATCAATATAATTAATTAAATTAAATCGATCATCCTCGCATCACATCAATCCTTTATTCATCACTATATTTAACTACCTATTATTTTTAATAGTCTCATACTTTTACATCACATCAACTTTATTCATTATATTTTAAATATTATTTAAATATAAATTCAAAATTTAACTCAATCTCCCACCCAATCAACTTTATTCAAACTTAATTCACTTTAACCAATAATTCAATAATAATTGGAATAAATTATCTCGCTTTAACCAATAAATCCAATCAAAACTTGTCTTATTTATATCCACTTACATGTGACTAGAAAGAAAAAAATTATTGAATTTATTGTATAAAGTTGGTTAATTTTGAAGATAGTTATTTGAGTGGAAGATTTTTGAGTAGAATTTACATATTTTATGGATTTAATGGTTTTAAATGCATTTTTTTTTTAACAAAATTTATCCTTGAAAAATGATTTAATGTGAACTATACGAAGGAAGGGGGAATTACTACTATAATAACATTATAAATAACTCACATAATACCTTCAATCATGATCTAGCATTAGGTTGAATAATCACAATGTAAGATAGGGAAATGCTACGGTCCCATTACTGTATCATCCTCTCGAGTCTTTTAACCGTTAGATACACATGTAGGTAGTATAAGATAAATGATCCAACGGTTAAAATACCCGACAGGATGATACCGTGACGAAACATAGCATTTCCCTAAGATAACCTTATGAAATCCAACAATGATTTAGTGGTCAAAATAAGTTGTCATATCCCTCTCATTCTATGGTTCCATATTTTACCAACTCTTTTCTTATTTTCGAGGTTTTAAATAGCGGGCTAAAACGTTTATGACACTGTAGCTATAGCGGAGCTATAGCAGAGATTTAGCGACTAAATTGCACATGAATACAAATAGCGGCACGCTGCCAAAAAAAAACTATTTCTCAAATAACGGCAACTTTAACGAGCTATTTATTTCCTTGATTATTTCACATATTAAGTTCCATAAAAATCGAAACAAAAAGGTTATAAAAAAAAAGAAAAAATTACAATGAATAAAAATAAAAACTCAATGGTTAAAATTCAATCGCTTTAACTGTCTCACAAGCCCGCATTTCTTGTTCCTCCCTCAAATTGCATCTCCCCTTCTTTTTGCTCTCATGTAATCTCAGGTGGTGAGTCCACCACCACCACCACCCGCTGCCCCACCGGAAAATAGAAACCAAAAACCACCGCCCGACTCACCGCCGCCGCCACCGGAGAAGAAGATAAAAAAGAAAAGAAAAAAAAACAGAGAAACCAAAGGTCCACCACCATGCATAAAGAGAGGGACAAGTTTCTCTCTCTTCTCCTCTTCACATTTTTCTCGGCTGCCGTCCGCCGAACCACCGCCGACGATGCGACTGTCATGGCCCAATTAGCGAAGTCCATCAACCCAAGCCCACCGGGCTGGACAGGCCCGACTTTCTGCAAATGGCAGGGCATCAGCTGCGACTCATCGGGCCGTGTCACCTCCATCAACCTCGCATCCAAATCCCTAACCGGCACGATACCCTCCGACCTCAGCCAACTCTCGGCCCTCAAAACCCTCAGCCTCCAGCGCAACAAATTCTCCGGCCCTCTCCCGCCACTCTCCGACCTACCGTCCCTCGAAGAAGCATATCTCGACGAGAACAATTTCGAATCTTTCCCAACGGGCTTCCTCTCGGGCCTAACGAGCCTCCAAACCTTCAGCATACAGAACAACACAAACCTGCCTGCCTGGACAATACCCGACACGCTCAAAGACTCCTCTTCCCTCACCACCTTCATCGCCGGAAAGGCAAATGTCTTCGGTCAAATCCCGGACATATTCGACTCCCTCCCGAATTTCCAAACCCTCCGGCTATCCTACAACAACATGACGGGCCATCTTCCGGCCTCGTTCGGAAAATCCGGAATACAGACATTGATACTCAACAACCAGATGGTGGGTTTTTCAGGCCCGCTATTCGTCCTCGGGTCAATGGCCCAGCTGCAAACCGTATGGCTCCAGTTGAATCGGTTCTCCGGCCCGATACCAGATCTCTCGGCCTGCACCGAACTGACCGACCTTCAGTTGCGGGACAATAGTTTGACGGGCATGGTCCCGGGTTCTCTCACGAGACTCCCGAAGCTCAAGAATGTGGCCCTGCAGAACAATAAATTCCAAGGCCCAATGCCAAACTTCCTGCCGAGTGTCCAGGTCAGCCTCGGGACCACCAACAGCTTCTGCCTATCTTCGCCGGGCCCGTGTGACCCTCAGGTGACGGCCCTGCTCGAGGCAGCCCACGCCATGAACTACCCGCCAGTACTAGCCGACTCGTGGGAGGGAAATGACCCCTGCCACCAGTGGAATTTCGTTACGTGTGAGAAGGGTAGCGTGACAGTCGTGAATCTCGGGAGGAAAAATTTTACGGGCATGATTTCCCCATCTTACGCAAATCTGACCAATTTGAAATCCCTGTTCTTGAACGATAACAACCTGTTCGGGACCATACCTCCGAGCCTCACGACCCTGGCCCATCTCCAGATGCTCGACCTGTCAAACAACAATATATCCGGCAAAATCCCGTCTTTTGCGTCGACTGTCACGGTTAAACTCTCGGGAAATGTGAACATCGGGAAGGACGTGCCGGTCACCTACCCACCGGAATTCCAGAACGAGACCGACACCACCACCAACGGAGGAGGAGAAAATGGCTCCCCCGGCGGCGGGTCCCACTCGAAAGTAGTCTCCCCGTGGGTGATTGCGATCCCGATCATTTTCTTTGTCATCGCGCTCTCGGTTGTGGGAGCTATATTCTGCAGACGGTATATGAACAAGAGACGGAACAAAAAATCATGGGGAAGTGGGAAGAGCGGGAGAAAGAGCAAGAAGATATCCGGCAACAACGTGGAGGAGCAAGAAAACGATATCATCAAAAGCCCCGTATCGAAATCAAAGTCCAAATCCAAATCCTCTAGCCACACAACCGAGACCCCAGACCGGACGAGCGATTACCACATACACGACGGTGGGAACATAACCATCCCGATCGAGGTCCTCCGGGAGGCCACCAACAATTTCAACGAGAACGCTGTGTTGGGGAAGGGCGGTTTCGGAATTGTGTACCGTGGGCAGCTTCATGACGGCACGCAGATCGCAGTCAAGCGGATGGAGTCCTCTATGCTTAGCGATAAAGGCCTGCATGAGTTCAAGGCTGAGATCGAGGTTCTCACGAAGGTCAGGCACCGGCATTTGGTGGCTCTACACGGGTTCTGTGATAACGGGAGTGAGAGGCTTCTGGTGTATGAGTACATGACTCAAGGGTGCTTGGGGCAGCATTTGTTCCACGGGAAGGAGATGAAGGGCCCCACTCTCGACTGGGACCAGAGAGTTACTATAGCTTTGGATGTTGCCAGAGGAGTCGAGTACCTGCACAGCTTGGCTCAGCAGAGCTTCATACACAGGGACTTGAAGCCGTCAAATATATTGCTGGGGGATGATATGAGAGCTAAAGTGGCGGATTTCGGGCTGGTGAGGTCAGCACCGGACGGTAATTACTCTGTAGAGACACGGCTTGCCGGGACATTTGGTTACCTTGCTCCGGAATACGCGGGTATGTTGTGTTTTGTTTTCTGCATAAGAATCAGTTAGATTTTACAAACCAGACAATATTTTATAAAACTTATAAGCTTGGTCAAACAACTTCCAAATACTAGATTTTTCTTTTCTCCATCACCATGATACTTACATTAGCTTTTTCTAGAATGTAATAAACGTCGTGCAACCATCATTTCTAACACCATCTTATTTACTCATCATTTACATCGACAAATGAAGTTGCTAAGTGCTGAGTTATTAGTTATTTCAAACCTGGAAAAAAAAAAAAA